AAAAATTTAATTAATTTTTAAATTTAAATTTTAATATTTAATAAAATAAATTTTTAAATTTTAAATTAAATTGTAATTAAATAAAAAAATACTATTAAACTTTAATTTTTTTTAAGAGTTGGGATTATATTTTTCTTATAAATTATCAAATAAAATAATTCATAAAAAAAACATGTTTGACCCGGACCCGAATTAAAGACCCCAAAATCATAACGACCAATAACGGCAGCCGAGCTTACTTGTCTGTCTGTCAGTTTCCTTCTTCTTCTTCTTCTTCCTCAGTCCACTCTGCCATGAACCCTAGATTTTCCTCTCCACTGCAACAATAATGCCGTCATTTCCCAAGTATTCCACGCGTGCATCCCCGACGTTATCTCGCACCTCTAGATCGAGGGTCCTGATCTTCTCCTGCCTCGTCCTCTTCGCACTTTCCGCCTTCATCTTTTCCCTCACCGCGTTCTTCGATCCCGGTCGCGGCGGCTACCGCTGCCTGACTGCTGACCCGAGATCCGTCAAAGTCTTTTGGGACCGGAAGAGTAACGCCGGGGATGAAAACAAAATTAATGATGGATTGAAGAGGCAAAAGGTGATGGCTTTTGTTGGGATACAGACGGGGTTTGGATCAACGGGTCGGAGACGGTCCTTAAGGAAGACATGGATGCCCTCCGATCGCCAAGGCCTCCAACGGTACAAGTTAATTTGAAATTAGTGTTTTTTAAATTTTATTCTTGCTTAGAACTGGTTTTTTGGAAGAGATTAGAAAAGGAAAGGAAAGAAAAGAAAGAATTTGCGGCTATTTATACCCAAACAAGTCAATCAAAACACTCAATTTCTTGGGTTACTAATTAAATTATCTATCTAATTCAGCATAATCTGCTTGGAATTGAATTAGACTTGATAATCCAAGTACAATTTAAGTTCCTGTAATTGTTGTGATTACCCTTGGCTGAATCTGCTTATCTTGCTTATAATGTGTAGATGCTTCTTTCTTGTAATCACCCTTTTGAAATGGTATGTATTTGCAGGTTGGAAGAGGCTACCGGTTTAGCTTTTAGGTTTGTAATAGGTAGAACAAATGACCAATCAAAGATGGCAGAGCTCAAAAAGGAGGTTGCAGAATACGACGATTTCATGCTGTTAGATATAGAGGAGGAGTACAGTAAGCTCCCTTATAAAACGTTAGTGCTGTGTTAACACATAGTTTTTGTTTCATTCATGGCTTTCTGCATAATCGTCACTTATCAAGAATGTGTGCCTCAGGTTAGCATTCTTTAAAGCTTCCTATGCGCTTTTTGACTCTGAGTTTTATGTCAAGGCTGATGATGACATATATTTGAGGCCAGGTAGCTTGATTTGCCTAGCTTATTTTCACTTGGAATGCTACAGTGCTCTTTTCCAACACCTCTATATATAGAGAAAGGGGGACTTATTTTCTTTTCCATATGCAGTTTCATCTGACAGCTTGCTAATTTTATTTTCAGATCGCTTGTCACTTCTTTTAGCAAAAGAGCGACCTCACACTCAGACTTACCTCGGATGCATGAAAAAGGGGCCAGTTTTCACTAATCCAAAGCTCAAATGGTCAGTCCTGTTACATCAACTTTTTTTTCGGGGGTACGTTTGGGAGGTGAACGGGGAGAAGATTTGAATTTTGAACCTGTCCCTTCCAAAGTAGGGGTAACAGCTGCTAGGCTAAGCCATAACTATAGTTTCTTTGTTGCTATTATTTATGCACATAAGTTAATGGTTTTTTGGTTTCATATTTTAAGTGACATTTCTCCTTGATTTTGAAGGGATGACAGTTCATCATGTTAAGTTGATTACTGGCACTTCATTAGAGAGACAAAAGCAGTAAAAGAACCATTGAATGATATTTACTATTGTCACAATGAACATTGCTATAATGTGATATCTTTGTTGAAAATTAAGGGAACATCGGGACAATAGCAAATACTTTCTGGTTTTAACCCTACAATATATGCATAGAAATGGTTCATATAGAACCATAAAAGGATCAAAAGGACTGTAGAACTAATATACCATTACACAAGGCAGTGTAGAAGAGATATAGAGAGCCTCTAAGATGACATCTTTGTTTCTTGTCCAATATAAAACAGAAGACATATGGACATAAATGCAGTTTGCTGAGAAAAGACAATGTCTGTATTCTGCAGCAAACACACTTCCTTGCTGTTAGAAAGCACCATAGAAGTGATTGATGAAAATTATAAGGTTAACAAATTAGTAAATTTCATTAAACTATCATGAAATGTTTTTATAAAAATGAAAAATTGGCTGTACTCTGGGATGGCTAAATGTTATTGTTATTATGCCTAGAGCTGCTTCCAGTATGAATCATGCATTCTGTTTTCAACATGCACCCTGTGTATGTTTAAAGCATCTTCTTTTATCGGTAATGAGATGTGTGGTATGCATATTATGGTTTCGCTAAAGATTTGGCTTGAATGTTGTAAACAGACCAGCATACCATCAGACTGTAGTAAATGAAATATTTTCAAGAATAATTTGGTGTTTTTATTTCCACTTCATTTGTATATTCGTATCAATCTTTATATAAACTTGTACTAAATTCATGTAGGTATGAACCACAATCCTATTTGCTTGGCACAGAATACTTTCTTCATGCATATGGGCCTATATATGCTCTTTCAGCTGATGTTGTTGTAAGTCTGGTTTCCCTCAGAAACAATAGGTAAGCTTGCATTCTTATTAGTGGGAGTCCTAACTGCCATTTGTTTGTTGAAACATATTTCTGATATTCTTTTCATTGCATTTTACACTTCTTATCCATATTGGAATCTTGGATTAGGAACTTAATAGTGGTGGCAGGCTTCAGTTGGCCTTTCTGCAAAGATCTCGACAGTTCAAGCATTGTTCTAGCTTGAAATAGATAATGCTCTTTAGATGTAACTATAAGAAGTCCAGCACCCTCTTTGGGTTTTGCTTTACATATAATGATTCACTTTGCTTGAAATTTCAGTTTTCGGATGTTTAGCAATGAGGATGTTACAATTGGTGCCTGGATGCTTGCAATGAATGTCAACCATGAGGATAACAAGCAACTGTGTGAAGCAGAGTGTACCCCATCATCTATTGCCGTATGGGATATTCCCAAGTGTTCAGGTTGGTGTCTATTGTTATGCCTAAAAATGGCTGAACTGAAACAATCAATGAAATCAAGCTCTAAGATCAAATACATTTGTTTTCCTCCCTGGACTTAAAGCAAAACAGTAAAGGAAAAGTAGAAAAAACACAGTCTGGTTCTCAGGAAATCTACTTCAGATTTTCAAGTTTACAAAGACCTGATTAATCAGGTCCAGGATCCATGGATTTTTCAGCACGATGATTGAATTTTCATAGAAATAAATGCATGTGATGGTTTAACCTTTCTTTATGCAGGTCTATGTAATCCAGAGAATAGGTTACTAGAACTCCATCAGAAGGAGATCTGCTCCAATAGTCCAACCATGGAATCTGATGAATAGCTTCATTGACCTAAACTTCAACTTCATTTGAAGAGCTTCTTAAGGAAATCACTTACTCTGCCACTGATGCCATAACGTTCTACTTTCTTCAACTATTCCAACAACAACAAATTTCCCCTTCTAACCCTTCATGATTTTTCTGTGCATTATATCATTTTGAACTAAAGAAGTTTACAGCACGATTTTTTTTTTTGTAATACAGTTCTGAATCTGATCACATGTTCAAACTAAATTCTCTGCCAGAAAGTTGTATTGAAATTTCAAATTTTGCCAATAGTTCATGCTAAAGAGTATTGTTTCTTGCTTCTGTGAGTCAAATACCAAATGCACTATTGGACTCCTATGTTTCCTTTTTCTTTCTTTTTTTTTTTGTGGTTGTATATCAGATGATGGGTTATAACAAGTGATAGCCCTCTCCACAAATCTTAAAAATTTAAGATCTCCAATTTAAAATTTTAAACTTTTAACTACTTAAGATACCCTCTTGAAGGCACTATTGGACTCCTATTGAAAACTTGAACATGTTTAATTTTTGTTTATTCTTTTTGCATTAAAGTTTCCTGCACAATTTTCCATCAAAGATAACACACACATCATAACTTTTCCCTTCAAATTGATTTGCACAGGGACATTTACTAGTTATACCATTTTGTATTATTTTGCAATTATTACTATTATTCAATTGTGTCTCACTTAGATTGCAAAAATAAAATTATCTTACAATTATTTCAGAGATCTTCTCTACCCAACAAACTTGTCCATGATATTCATCATATTGTCTTTTAAAAATAATTGAATCCAAACCCTCCCATCGAATGGGAAAGGAAGAAAAGTAGGACTTTCTTTTCCTTTGTCTTTATTTATAAAATTTATTGAATTATATATATACACACACACACACAAAATAAACTATTTAGATTCAAGAGCTAACCACAAACTATAATATTAAAACCAAAATTATTGTCTTTTTAGGGAAATTTTTATGAGAATCTAGAAATTTGAATAAACATTAGCAAAATTCATTGATTGAACTGAAAGCAAAACGTTGGCTAAAAAAAAAAAAAAGCTGAAAGTAAAACCAAAAGCATAAGAGTGAAGTTCAAGTGAAGATTTTGAGAAGTAGCTAATGATTTTCCCATTTTTTTCCCCCTTTTAATACCAAATGAAGTAAGGGGGATGAAGGAGTGATTATCAAGGGAACCCAATTTGTTATATGGGCCTAGAGAATGATTGTTCTGTTGATTGGGCCATTTAATAAATATAAAAAAAAGTTAGAAAGAAACAATCATTGCA